CCACCGGTACGTGATAGTTCTCATGCCTCAGCTAATGTGGCCTCGATCGTCAACGGACTGTCCCGCAGCAACAAGCAAAGATTGGCGTCGCCACCTCTGTCGAGGCCGCCGGTGAGGATCTCCAGGAGCAGCAGGAGGCTCTCGGCGCCCAGCCTTCCCCCAACATCCCCTTCTAAGCCTGGAGGCCACCACCTGCCTCTGGCTCACTCGGCGCGACCGACCACAGGAAAAAAAAAAATCCGAAAGCTCCCCTCCTAATCAACCAAAGACATGAACGGCCCCGGACGGCCGGCAGCATACGCACGGCGGCGCATCCTCTTCATGACCTCTGATGTCGGGCGCATCTTCCTCGCTTATTTTGTTTTAGTATACGCCCTCCTCGCCCCTCGCAGAGGTCCATTTGGCCCCTACTTCCCCCCCGTTTTTCCCACTTCAAGCGAGGAACTTGGCCTGCGGTCGGATCTGGAATGACTTGTCGTTGCTGTTTTTGTTTTTTGTTCTTTTCCTCCCGCGGGCCGCCCGAGCCTCGTTCTGTCCTCTGGCCCAGGGTTTGGGAGGACAGCTGTACAATAACCGCTCTTGGATGAGCAACATGGCAGTCGGTGGGAAGAAGACCGGCTGCCCCGCGTGAACTGTGATTTAAGCCACTCGCGGCGTGGCTTATCCACAATTGTGAGGGCGGGCATGGCGGGCCCGTCTCATATGTACTGTGTATGAAGGAGAATAGAAGAGTTCTGATGAATGTGCTGCGAGGAAACTCTAACAGTGGTGTGAACCGATGGCCCTGTCGTGTGTCTGGTGGGAAGCCATGGTGAAGAGTAGACAATGACACGCATTCGAGGCATCACCTTTGGAGTATTGTTGGCTTGCCTTCGAGGTAACTTAAGGTCACGACATCCGCCGGCAGTCTCGAGTCTCTCCACCTCCAGCAGCGTCAGCCCTATCCACTGATGCGATCTTCCGGGGGGTTCATATCGTCTGCAGTAGCATCACGGAGAGGGCGCGTGGCTTCGATTTAGTCGACCCTCCTGGGCTCGCCAATTATGCCACAGCGCCGTTCCCCTTCTCTCTCAGCAGGATAGACAGACAAGGCTACAATGCACGCGCTCAGACGCCGGCCAATGTTGTAGGGTGAGGAGGGGATCAGCCGTGCTGGGTGCGTTGACATGGCTATGGGCAGTAGGTAGGCAGTGATCAGACCATGACAATGCGTCGTGCCTGTTGTTACAGACTGCCCTGGTTCGTTGCTGGCAGATTTCCTCCCAGACTGATGGATTTGACGGTCTGCATCATTTGCCGCTACGCATCCCGCTTGCCTTGGGAATGGACAATTAATTGCACGATGATGATAGAATTTACTGTAGTTGTTTCACTTCATGCTGGGTACGTCCCTATAACTTGTAGGGCCTGCAGTCGCATAAAGTCATTTGGCCTTGTAGTCAGTGCTGCCAAGGGCACTGTAGCTTCTGTTTCCTGTGCATGCCATGCCTGGGACTGATTGCAAGTCGTGCTACGAGGACACACAAAGCACAGCCGTCCACAGCATCCCCCTGCAGCCGTCCTCCAGACAAACAGAGTGAGACATCCCGTTGACGGCGCCGGCACTGGTCAGACAGGCGGGCGGTAGAAGCAAGACTGACTCGCCCAGCGGCCCCAATCGCGCTACCACGCCCCGAGCTTCCGAGCATCGAAGCTCCGTTGCGATGTCAAGTACTGTCATGTCACAGATCACATGGGAGACAAAACCAAAAAAATCATGGCGGCACTACCCGTGTTCTCACGAGTTCCATGCGAGCGCCGGGAATCGAACCCGGGGCCTAAGCATGGGAAGCTTAGATGTTACCATTACACCACGCTCGCCATGGTAGCCCAGGCACCTGAGGGAGCTTCATGACTGCGGGGTCGCCCCGTTCGGCGAGGTTCCACGACACGAGCTGCCCCGCCCCAGTCCAACCCTCCTGCAGTTGCCCCCCCCTGTCGAGAGGCACCGTCATCAAGCTTCCAAGAACTCCAAGCCCAAACATTCAGACGTCCGATTCCTGCTACACCTCCTCTGCCGCCGACACACACCCCTTTGTCTCGTCTCGCTCGAGTACCCGAACCTTCCGAGTGCTTACGAACGAGAACACGAACGAGAACACGAACGAGAACACGAACGAGAACACGCACGAAATTCCCCAAAGACATCCTCCGCCATGGCCTCCAAAGCCGACAAGATCGAAAAGATCATCGCCCGCCTGCAGGCCCGCACGGCCGAGGGCCAGTACTACGAGGCCCAGCAGCAGACCCGCGTCGTGGCCGCCCGCTACGT